AGATCTATTCAAATTATAAAACAACGGTTGATATATATTTTTATCTCTCTTAATTTTTCATTTTCTTACCCATCCTTATGTGATCCTATGATCCAACCTTCCTCTCTCTTTTTATTTTTTTATTTTCTTCAATTTTTATTTTTCTCTCAATTTGTTTTTTTTTCATTTTCTCTTTTTTATTCACTTATTTTTATTCATATTATATGGAAAAGTCCGCGATCCCATAATTAGGAGCCAGATTTTACTGTGTGGAGTGGAAATTAAATTAATGAATTTTATAGTCCACAAATTAAATGAATTTAAACAAATAAGATTTATTCAAATTATAGAACAATGGCTGAGATATATATTTTTAAAAATATCCTACATGTATATTTTCTATTTTCCCGCTTCTCTCTCTTACTTTTTCCTTTTCCCACCCATCCTTCCATGGTCTCACATTCCTCTCTCTTTTCTTTTTATTTTTTTATTCTCTCCCATTTTTATTTTTCTCTCAATTTGTTTATTTTTTTTCATATTATATAAAAAAAGTCTGCGATCCCAGAATTAAGAACCAAATTTTACTTTGTAGAGGAGATTAAATTAATGAATTTTATAGATCACAAATTAAATGAATTTGAATAATTAATTATTATATTTAAATATGTTGAATGCCTGATAGACTTCGTAAATTTAGATCTTATATGCATTTTCAACATATTTTAATAAAGTAAGATGGTTTTTGAATCTTCAACATATTTTTATCCTATTAGGACATTTAGATGACTCAGATCTGTTCAAATTATAAAATAATGGCTGAGATATATATTCCAAAAAATATTCTACATATACATATTCTACTTCCTGCATCTCTCTCTCTCTCTCTCTCTCTCTTACTTTTTCCTTTTCTCACACCTCTCCTTCAATGATCTCATGATCTCGCATTCCTCTCTCTTTTCTTTTTCTTTTTTTTTTTATTTTCTCATGTTTTTATTTTTCTCTCTATTTGTTTATTTTTTTATTTTCTCCTTTTTGTTCAATATATTTCTGACATATTTCCATACAATGTATGTATGCCCCTAATGGAAGTGGGGACACTGCTGCGCAGCCGCGTAGCAGCATCTGCTGTGCGGCGATTTGGGCCCATTTCGGGGCCCATTTTGATAATCTGAATCGTTCCCATTTTAGAATACGTCAAGTAGAACATGCCTGCAAAAAATCAAGTTAATCGGATATCGTTTACCCATTCATCCACTCACATTTGTATCTATATTTGTATTTATTTTTGTAGATACAAATGTGAGTGGGTGAATGGGTAAACGATATCCGATTAACTTGATTTTTTGCAGATATTTTCTATTTAACGTATTTTAAAATGTGAATAGTTCGAATTATCAAAATGGGTCCCGAAATGGGCCCAAATCGCTGCACAGCAGCGTCCCCACTTCCGCCTGTAATACACTAGGACATTACAACCATATTTACAATTTCATATAATTATATAAGCAAAAACAGTATTGTATGTATGCCCGTGAAAATTGTATGTATGTTAGGCACATCTATCTATCTAGCTTGCATTACATAAGCAAAAGTGATTTTCCATAAGGAGTTTTTTAAGAACTCCAAAATTTTATAATAAATTTATGAATTTATCAAATTAAAAAATAAATTTAAATAGTGTTGGGATTACAATTATATTCTAATTCTAATATTATTTACACCGTACTTTTAGGCCTGGGCATACGCTAGTATATATATATATATATATATGGAGCAAGGGGATTAAAAGGAGAAAAAGAAATAAACTATGATTTTATTAAAAATTAGAATAGCAAATTGAGAATTCAAATGGTTCCAACAAAACGACACAGTATTGAATTTTTACAATATATGGAATTTCAGATTAAAAATTATTAACTCTAAAAGTTTTAAAATATACTCCAATTTAAGTTGTCTACATTAAAAAAAGTGAAGGCGCTGAACAAAAGTTTACTATTAAAAAAACATGGGTAAATTACACTTGACACTCTTGAAGTTTATTTTTATTATAGTTCATTTTCTCATTTTTTGAAAATTATATTTTTCTTTTGAAATTTAAAGTTTCATTACAGATTCTTCCTTTTAGCAATTTAATTTTTCTAAATACTAATTTTTCCCTCATTGGGTAAATTACATTGACACCCCTCACATTTTAGAAACTACAATCCACTCCTTAAAATTTAAAGTAGTATTGCCAATTGCTCCCTCGGTTAGTATTAGTTGGACAAAAATTAATTGAAAAAAAAATTAATTGAATTTTTTTTTTGTTAATAAAGATTTTAAATTTTTGTTTAAAAATCAACGTAATCTCATTTTTTGAATTTACGTTTTTTCTTCAAATTTACAAATTGAGACAACCATTTATAAACCAAAAAAATTATCAAACAAGTTTTTATAACAGTTTTTAAAATTTTTGTAAATATAAATTGAAAACTGAAAACGAAATGGTTACCAAAGAAGCTTGATGATAAAAATATCATAAAGTTAACAAATAATTAAATAAGTTACCAACGTAAGAAATGACTTATCAAAAAATTTTAGGCTATGTATAGTTTGATTTTTAGAAATTTTTTAAAAAAATTAAAAATTAATTTGGTTAAGAAATAAAAAATAAAAAATAAAAAAGTAAAAAATATTATGTTTTTGGTGGTATATAGCCTAAAAATTTAGTATTCTTAGGCTATGTATGGTTTGATAATTATTTTTTATTTTTTATTTCTTAACCAAATTAATTTTTAATTTTTAAAAAAAAATTTCTAAAAAGCAAACCATACATAGCCTAAAAATCTTTTGATAAGTCATTTCTTACGTTAGTAACTTATTTAATTATTTGTTAATTTTACAACATTTTTACCATCAAGCCTGTTTGGTAACCATTTCGTTTTTAATTTTCAATTTATATTTACAAAAATTTTAAAAACTGTCATAAAAATTTGTTTGATTTTTTTTTTGGTTTATAAAAGGTTGTCTCAGTTTGTAAAATTGAGGAAAAAAGTAAATTCAAAAAATTAGGTTACGTTGGTTTTGAAACAGAATTTTAAAAACTTTACTAACAAAAAAAATTTCAATTAATTTTTTTTTTTCAAATAATTTTTTTTCCATTTAATTTTTTTTTCAATGAATTTTTTTTCAACTAATACTAACCGAGGGAGTAATTTGTAATGCTACTTTAAATCTTAGGAAGGGGATTGTAATTTCTAAAATGTGAGGGGTGTCAATGTAATTTACTCAATGAGGGTAAAATTGGTATTTAAAAAAACTAAATTGCTAAAGGGAGAATCTATAATGAAACTTTAAAGCTCAAGGAAAGATATAATTTTCAAAAGATAAAAAAGGGAACTGTAATAAGTATAAACCTCATGAAGTGTCAGTGTAATTTACCCAAAAAAAACATTCTAGACATTTATGTTAAAGTTTATCCTTATCTCCATGAAATTTTAAATCTTGAGACTTGAATTGCCAAATAAATTTTTTTTTTTTGTCCTCTACCTAATTTTCCCAAGAAAGAATTATGACGTAAATATAAATAGGAAAGGCGGACTTGTAATCAAAATTAAATGTTTGAATTTTTTATACAACACATTAACATGCCGTGAATTATAAATGGAATTAATTAATTTTGATTGGTGATTTTGCAACACTATTCCGATTATGATACAATATGATAAAATAAAAAATAAAAAGGTCAAATCCGTGATATACTCGCCTAGCAAGAAATTGGCACGTATAGCTAATTCAATGGACAATTACATACATTTTTCAACATTATTTTTATTGAAATGTGCCATTATATATAAATCATCTATGTTTGTTTTCAATTTATTACAATATATGTTTTACTCACAATCATTCACGTCAAAATTTTAAGTTCATTAATGCTACATTTGGTTGGAGATTTGTAAAAAGATTTGGAAAGGATAAGGGAAAATGTGTGTGGAATTAGATAAAATATAAGTATATTTTATTCACGTTTCACCTACATTTTTTATTTTTCTTTTCAAATCTTTCAACCAAACACAACATAAAGGTTTGAAAAACTTTTGTTAAATAGTCGACCTTCTCTCTTCTTAATATTACACTATTATTTTCTCTTTTCATGTAGATTTTCTCCTCTCTGTGAAGAGATTTGTTCTTTTCTTTTTATGTGGAGACTCGTATCATCCTTGCATGAAGGTTCTCTTTATTCATTTTGAGATCTATTTTTTACTCCAGTATATTTTATTAAACGATTTATTATCAGATGTGTAATATATTAAACCTTGTGCTTTCCTAAAATAATTTTTTTTTTAAAAAAATCCATATACATGACATATATATATAAATTCATAACTTTTGTCAACTTTTTTTTTTAAATTTTTTTATTTTAAATATATATTATTTTCATTAATCCATTTAAGCAATAAAAGAAAAATTATATCAACATTATTTCCTCACTCATATGGTACCATTTTTTTTTATTTATTTTTATTTATTTATTTATTTTTGTGTGGAGAAATAGAAAGATAATATCATATATAAATAACCATCAGTACATACAGTTCATCCTCCTGGTAAGGCTAGTTTTGCCAACACATGAGCAACCCTTTGCTTCTCGTCTCGAAACCTTAGCCATACATACATGATCTAACATGTTACAAAAATAGCATATATTTTGCAAAAGATTTGTCAAATCCCATTCCATCTGACGACTATTTTTCAGCTGCTGAACTGACAATGTGACACTCATATGGTACCATTGAAATAATAGTAATAATAATAATAAGGTAAATTACAAAAACACCCCCTGAGATTTGTCTCATGTGATTTTGAAAATTACATTCCATTCTTGAAATTTTTAATTTCATAACAAATAGGCCATTTGATTAATTTTTTAGAAATTTCAATTTTTTTTAGTTAATTTTGTTAAAAAAAAATTCTAATAAGAAGATATTTGTAATTTTTCAAATTACAGAGGATAATTCGTATTTTAATCAAATCTCAGAATGTGTATTTATAATATTTATCCTACTGCACAAAGTCCTGATGTTTCTGTCAATTCTCCTCGAATTGACAGGATGGTTGAATTTCCATTAGCCTCATACGAAGACTCAGTCATTCCCATCCGAAGAACTTTATCAACCTCTGCACAAGGTTCCTCCACCTCGCCACAAGGTGACCAATCAATCATGAAGGACAAATGTGCGGTGCAGGTGTTAGAAAGAAACTTTGGCGGATTAAGTTTTGGCAAAATTAAGTTGGGTGGAGAGGATGGAAGTGAGTGCTCAGACCAAAACGCGACAGCTGGGGCATCGAGCCGGACGTCGTCAGACTTGCAGCGTCATCCATTTGACATGTCCTCATACCAGCAGCGAGCTGAAGCTTTGGAAGGGTTGCTTGAATTTAGTGCAAGACTGCTGCAAGACAAAAGGTACAATGAACTGGGGGTGTTGTTGAAGCCGTTTGGACCAGGGAAGGTTTCTCCTAGAGAAACTGCAATTTGGTTGACAAAGAGCTTCAAGGAAAACGCACTCAAGCCGGAAGATCAATACTAATGAATGGCTGACACGTGTGCTGTATTCAGTCCGGTAATGAAATTTAGAGGTTTGCTGATAAAGTTTTTGCACTGGTAGAAATTGATGTAGTAGATATATACTAGTGAGGTGATTTTTGT